TTTGGCTGTTTTGGGAAAGCAAGAATAATTTTGAGAACCCAAATCTTGGTATTGAAAACATAAGGAGGGGTTGGTATGTTATCTCTGACCTGTTGTGAGCTCAGATTTTGCAATATGCATGAACTTGATTAACACTGTTATAAAAGGTGACTGATTGATGAATAAAGTGGAGTCGATGGCTGACCAACGCAAGGTGGGTCATCTCCCTCCAACTTCAATAACAATGTTGCTGAGATAGGGTAGTTTTATTGCTATTTTAATGCCTGTTTATGTTATACCCAGATAAAGATGAGAAGTGTGCTCTGCAGAGGTGAGTGGGTGTGACATATGCTGTATCTATAAACACTTCCACAGGCTGTCACCTGAATTTCCATGGCTGAAGAGAAGTATTTTAAATTTTAAATCTCATCTCTCACATGGCATGCAATGAACCACAGTGGGAGCTAGGGGCATTAGATGGAATTTTTTTGATAGAAGAACCCTTTCCACCCTAATCCCTATCTGTGCTTAGAATTTGTAGCATTGAAAAGAGTGACTTAGGAGAGGATGAACATGTCTTAAAATGTTAAGAGTCTGATTATGCAGGACTGTGCCCTCATGAAGAATCCTTGCTCTCATAACTGCTGCCACTGATGACAGGGAAATTATTTATGTGGGTTATGAACTATTTCTATAACAAAGAGTGTGCAATATTGGAGTCCCAAAAATGTAGCAAAGCTGTCCTAGGAAAAATTCCTTCAGGAGTTTTATTTTGCAAATTGTCAATTACATGAACTGTATTCTTTCTGAGCGCAATAAAACAGAAACTCCCTAGTTTGATGATGTACTCTCTGCTGATCCAGACAGGGAGGTGTGAAGTTATTTATTGGTTTCCCTAAACTGTATTTACAGGATGCTGTGTGAACCCAGGATAAGCAATGTGCCCTTCATATTTACTACAGGGTGTTTGAACAGAGCCCAGTGCTGTGTCCAGCAGTCTCTTCATGGGCCACTGAAGTACAATTGCTCCTGCAGCAAGGACAGCCAGTGGCCAAATATCAGTGATACATGTTTAAATTCTCTAGAAATAAAATTCACAACAATGGGTGGTCCCTTTTTTTTTCAAATAATAAAAAGCTTTGTCAAAGATTTCATCTCAAGAGTTTTGAAGTACTTTATTTTAACCCATACTCAAAATATTTTTTAACTATTTAGAACGATTTCTCTTGAAGTTATTTGGAAAATCAGGATTCATGAGGAATTGTTGGAAATTTATTGATTCACTGACATTCAGAAGAGTATCATAAAAGAAAAATTTCCATTAGCATACAGGTCTGGAACTATGACTAAGATACTGAAGGTGTATGTTGTTGTATATGCATCTCTGATACCATTGTGTATGGGAAACTCTCCTGATTAGAATTTAATTTGATTTATTACCTTATTTTTATTTCTTATTTAGTGTTTACAGATTAAATAAAACCCCTCATGTACATATAATAGATGTAGATGGAAATTGAAGCAATCAATCTTGTATTACAATGCCTCTTGCAAAAAAAAAAAATTATGTAAGCTTGCCTGGAAAATCCCCAGTCATGGTATTAAAACTGATCTTATTTTTCAAGACAGTTGTCTTAGAAAGGATTAAATATGGTTCATAAGAAGAATCAAAAGTATGAAGACTAATAGATGAGAATCTGAAAGTAGGTTTCCAAGGTTTCCAGGCCCACATTTAGAGCTCTACTTAGTGACCTGTTTTTGCAAAGGTGCTGCCAGCTGTGTGTGTGAATTCCATAGGAATGCTCACCTGCCCAGCACTTCTGGGAACAACCTGTAACTCAGGGTCAGCAATGGGAAATTTCATAAGCCTTTTCTCGTAGTCCTTTTAAGTTGACCCATTTTATTAAGTTGGTTGCATGAAGTTCGAGGACACCCCCTCATGTCATCTGTTTTAAATATGTAAGTTTTGGCAGAGGAAAGCCTGGCTTACATAGAGGGGCCACGGAGGGACCCGAGATGCTGGCTGGCAGCACTGTGGCACTTTCTCTTGGCTGTGAAGTGACTCTATTTGATGTTGTGAACTTCCATGAGTATTTTAAAACCAGAAACTATGGTTCTGTTGTGGGTTTGGCAAATCCTGTTCTTGAATTCTCCTTGAGAGAAGGCAAAAGTTTTTTTTAAGTTCCATCTAATTTTAGATGAAAATGGCCCATCACTGGAAATACTGACAGATGTCTTTTGTATCAAAAGCCAGAAAGTATATTTATACGCGAGCCCAAGCTTAGAGAGCATATTTTGTAAATTTAACTTGTTTATTTTTTTCACTATATGTATTTTTCTTCTGCCTGTTGCAGTTTTGCTGTCTAAAGTGTTGATAAGTTTTCTATGTTTTTGCAGCATTTTGAATAAAAATTGGTCATATTATTACATAATTTACCTCTGGTGCTCCTTGAAGTCACTAATGTACAGATCATCATCTAGCATAGTGAAAATAATTAATTTTATTAAATTTTTTTATCAATTTTATTTATCAATGTAAATTTCTCAATCCATATCTCTCACTAAAATGGTAGTCCATTGTTGCTTCTTTTCTTTCATGTATATTGCCACAAAATTTTGACTTAGTGTTTTTTCAAGTAATAGCTGTACATAGCCCATATTCATTAGTGACAGAGTCAAAGATTTTCCATGTGTTTTTTTTCCCTTACCACTTTAGTGACATAAAACTACTTCTGGGGATGTAGCAACTGAAGTGACATTAAATCTACTTTTCTTCTCAACGTCTTCCCAAATTACATGTTCTCATTGAGGTAGTTTAAATGTGGAACAATCAAAATGGCAGTCTTATGTGCAAGAATTTGTTATAATAATAATCAATAGATTCACGAATCAATATATTAATTTCTTTTGGTTAGAGTTCTGTGGGAACCAGCAATCTAAGCTGTAGCATCAAAATAGAGCAGAGTCTCTGCTTCTGTTTTTGCAAATTATAGCAATAACATGCAAAGCTTCCAAAATATGCTGTAGCATATCAGAGCACAGAAACTTGATAATTCAATGTCATGGCCTTATCATTTGATTGGATAAAATTATAAGCTAATAATAAATTGTTGTGTAGCCTTGGTGTGTTGTGCAGTACTTACTAGGATGCTGTAAAGCAAAAACTGGATGCAGTTAAAGGTTTTGTAAGTCAGTGAAATTATTTGGACATTATGCAATTTTCAAGTATCATATTCTATTTGAGAAAGTTTTTTTCTGATTAAGAAGGGGATTTCTGTTTGGTTTTGGTTTGTGCCATTATTTGCCTTTTTGTTTTGTTTTATTTATTTAATGTTATGGTATGTTGACCCTGGCTTAATGCTAGGTGTTTCCAAAACCACTCTTTCACTCTCTCAGCTGGACTGGGGAGAGAAAATTATGGAAGGCTCATGAGTTGAGATAAGGACAGGGAGAGAACACTCAGCAATTACCATCAGAGGAAAAAGAGGGGAAGTAAATTTAGTAAAATACCAGTCAAATTTGAATTAGAATATGCTAGTGAGAACTAAACCCAATTATTTAAAAAAAAAATCTTCCCACCATTCACAGCCTTAACTTCACTCCCTCCTTTCTCTGCCTCCTCTCACT